ATATTTTATTTAAACACAATATGTTAACGGCGTAGCTGATGTGGTCGTGTATAACGTAACTCAAACTGAATAAAAAGTAATGAAGAGAAGATACTAATTTAAACATTTACCCGGCTGACTTTGCACAAAAATATTTACATACTACTATTCACAGGTTTCTATCTACAAGACGCGTGCCATGTGTGTGTCCTTCTGAGGGACACAAATAAAAAATATGGCGCCCAGAAACTAACAAAAACATCTGCCATTGAGTCTTGTTACAAAAAGAAAGTACTCGATCATCTTTCGAAAACGCATGAAAATTAAAATCAAAATAAATGGAGTGCTCAGAAAGCAATATATCAGAAGATGAGTCATTTTTTTGTTGCACATGCTAGAGTGTTTCGGCGGCCATATTCTTGTCACGTAATGTGAAAGCTTACCAAATCCAACGTGCTCCATCATTAAAAAAAAAAACTCCAAAGGGATAAAACATTGTAAAATTTCAAGTGTTGATCTTTTTTAATATCTCGATCACCAAATTAAAAATTCAGAAGGACTGATAATTCCTCATTGCAAATTTTGGTTACATTACATGAAACCCAATAATTAATACTGGAATTTCCAGAATTAACTGCAACAAAAAGGTTGAATATTAAGAAACTTGTTTTACATCACTGGCATATTGGATATTGAGTAACCAAGATGAAGGACACTGTCATTATTTTTCAAATGTTCATTTACTTTAGTGTTTGATGCCATGACAATATGTGGTTATGATGTTTGTTAGACGTTACAAATTGAATTAACATATTCTGAAATTTTAAGAAAATACATGTAAAAGTGTAACTGAAATGCAATGGCACGTGAACTCGACTTTTGTCTTCATGACACAGAAAGAATGCTGCGGTAGCAACTTTGAAAGTGAATTTTAACTGCAAGCTTATTTTAAATTCAAAAAGCTTAAAAACTAAACATTAAATGCAAAAAGCTCTAATATTTCAAAATGTGGTTATTTTTTAATTCTTGTGTTATAGCTTAGCGAACTCTAAAATCATATTTTACAACATCTTGTTTGATTGAATGCGATTCAAGCTTGATCGAATAAAAGTGAAGTTTACAAAAAGGAAATGTAACTGTACATATATACATTGGTGAGTGAGGTTTGAAAGTGCTTTGTTCTCAATTAAGGGAACAAAAGGTAAATTAAATGTGAATGATGTCAATATTGATTTGCTTCTTAGTGTCATATGACAGTCTTAATAAATCCAATTCCAACACACTTTCCAGAATTTAGTCATCTGTTGTAATTGGCAGGTTGATTTGACAGATGTCCATAAGCTTGTTAAAGACCTCACTAAATACAGAGAGCCTTATCTTGTTTGGTTTGGGTGCTTGCACATAAAATTTCAAAGACCATTGGACATTACAACGGGCCATTTTCATTGTCATATTGCAGGTACTGCATGTTGCCTTTTATTACATGATAATACTGAAGTTGCGGACACCAAGGATGTGTGCATTTATATCTTTAAAGGGGAAACTATGTTAACTGGTTGAACAGGTTCTGGAAAGGCCTCCTGTAATGTAATTTTGGCAATCTTCCTTTTTTGGAGTGTTCAAGTAGCGTTTAGGATGGGCAACTTTGACTCTCTGACTCTAGTCTGGCTGACCTTGGCTTGGGCGAGGGTTCCTGCATGGTGTCCCAATAGCACAAGTTTAATGAAGCCAGTGGGATCACTGCTGTAGCCTGCTTGTTTCTTCACAGGGTTGGATTTAAAAGACCAAGCGTTTTGATTCCTGAAGATTGTAGCAATTGTCCTTTCATTGAAACAAGTTGATCTGGGGTCATTTGAGAAAGTGATGCAATCGAGGTTACATTGTGAGGCTCTTGTATGGGAAGGAGGCTGTGCAGGGTGTCAACATTGTGTGCCTGTCAATAACAATATCTTGTCGGCCACACTTGTTGCTGACACCATATTTCTTTGTCTTTACTGGTAATTGATGCTGGTACAAGGTATCACGATATTCTTTTTTCTCTTTGGCAAAGCAGACTGCTTTTACTACACTTGAATTGGTTTGTACACGTATCTCACAATTGAAGTACTTTTAAAGTCCAGACTGTTTAATCAGTCACACACCATGAATGCAGCACTGCATTTCTGTTGGTACTGGGTTAAAATAATATGAACATAGATTAGTTTAATCTACAGTGATTAATAAGAGTGAAGAATGATCATCGCAGTAAATTTTCCAATTTAAGCAATTGGAAAGAAGAAGCCTGCAAAAAAAAATCAGGGCTTCAATGGGATTCGAACCCGTGACCTCCGCGTTACTGGTGCGTTGCTCTACCTAACCAACTGAGCTATGAAGCCACACATTGGGAGCGAGGTCAATTTATTGAGTTCATATCTCCTGTGAGGAGAGAAATGATGTGAAGTATATGAAATAATTCATTTTTGAACTGTGGTTGTAGATGAGAGTGAAGAATGATCATCGCAGTAAATTTTCCAATTTAAGCAATTGGAAAGAAGAAGCCTGAAAAAAATAATCAGGGCTTCAATGAGATACGAACCCGTGACCTTGTAAGTGTGCATTGAACATTTGGTCTGGAATGTCCGTGGGTTTTGAGATTTGGTAAGGATTTTTTTACTATATTTAACTCGTCTCATTTGCCTGCAGAACCTTTCTTTGTTTGTGCCATCGCTTGCTGGTTCACTCGATCACCTTGTAGTTTTTCTGCCACTGTCTGTGGAATCATGGAAATAGAAAAGAAAAGGTTAAGTTTACGTTATCAAAGAGTTTTTTAGGGTTTTTAGCTATAATAATGCTTCAAATTTAAAAGTAAAATTTGAAACAAAAATCTAGGAAAACTCACTTTTGGAGAAAAAAAAAGAGGATAATATGAAGTTACCTGTGTACAAACTTTAAATATTATGGTGACATATGTGAAACAGATAATTAAGGCAACTGTAGTTCATGTTATGTCTGGCTTGCTGCAATAGTATCAAGTCTTTTACCAATATTGATCCATGCCTTCGGCAGGGTCAACCCCTTGGCTTTTATGTATTGTCATTACCCAAGCAAGTTCCAAAGGTGGTGGTTGTCTCTCATGTACACCATCCAAAAGGTGCGAGTTAACTGTTATTGGGCATATAGCTACACATGCAGGAATGCTGTCAGATTTTTAACTTTTTACACAAATTAAAGATGAAGGATGTGCTTGAAACATGGGGTCTCAGATAGGATCATATTCTTTTTCTATCCTTAAGAATTTTTCTTACAGGAACTCGAGATTGTTCCCTATCTGTGTGCCTTGTTTTTTAATGCCGTTGAACATACAAACTTGTGTTTCACCTTGTACTTCAACTAAAGCTTTTAAAAACTCGTAGATTTGATAAGTGCATGTGGATGATGGTTGACCTCCACAGCTTTCAAGTCTCGAATGACTGATTTCCATTTAGCCAAGTCTTTTCTTTCTCAAGCAGTCACACTATTAGCCTGCAAATTCAGCCATCTCTCTTCGATGCTTACTGCGAGGATCATTTCATGGGAGAGATGTCTACCTTTCAGTCCTAGAAAGAAAGAGTACATATCTGAAAATTTCTTTAAATGTGTTTTGGATCCCTTCAATTTTGAATTTTGAAATTGCTTTGCTAATAATAGCATCTTTGTCTTGTCTCATTGGTTTAAATTCACTTTCTTTAGCTAAATTTGGCACTTAAGGAAACATGCGGTTAGAAACCGTGACTTCATCTATCAGAAGCCCAAAGCTCTTTGCTTTTTTGGCTCTTTCAAGCAATCTCTGCATTACATTGCTTCTGAAAGTAAGGAAATTCCTCTAACTGATTGTTGTGAAGGGTGGGCAAAATACTTTAGCTGTGACATTCCAAGTACTTTCTCCGTAAAGTTAATTAGCGGGATTAGCTAGTGATAAGCTATCAACTCTTTCATAAGAAAGAAAGTAGTGACCAAAAATAATTTTGCATTACAGTAGTTTAAACTTCATTTTTCTCAACAAAAGTTTGATGGAATACAGACATTCACTGCAACAAATCAGCCTCTACTGCTAAGGAATGGGCTGCGTATGCCACATGCATCTTTAATTTAGAGAGTCCTCATTCAGTTGTTTATAGGGTTGCCTTAAAACTGCCAATAACAATAACAACAATAATATTGATAGTAATAACAGTAATAATCTTCAAACAGGGTTCATTCTCAAAAAACGTGGTTTTCAGAATGGCCTTGCATAAAATAAATAAATTCAGTTAATAAAATACTACAATAAAACCTGCTCTTTTAGTTCCCTCAATTTCTGGATTGACATTGTCAAAATCTTTTGATGCCTTGTATGCTGAAGGATTTTACCAAATCATTTGAGGTATCATTGAGGTCTGATAGACATGCCTTGGTACAGTTGCAAAATACCAGGCTGGCTATTAGTCAGTTATTTAGTGTTATATTAAGTGATACAAAAGGTTTCAAATTTGTGAAGACTTTTAAAGTTACATTCGTTTAGAGAAGGATGAGCATAATATTTATAAGCCAGCTTATTTCAGTAGTCGGGAACAGATTATAATTAACCCCAATGATTTTTTACCAATCCTGGGATCATCACAGCAGCAATTATTGAATGGTATTGGTGTCTGGCTATCTGAGGGCAGCGGTTGGAATATTAGTAACATTGATGAGTACTATAATATTAATACAGCAGTGTATGAACCTACTAAAGGCAGCTCATATATACCCCTACCAACTGAGCTCAAACATTCGAGGAAGGGTTTGGTTAACCTTAAGAATGAGGATGAGTGTTTTCTTTGGTGCCATATTCGGCACTTAAATCCACAAGAAAAGAACCCACAGTGGATTAAAAAATTGAACAGGAAAATGGTAGAAGAGTTAAATCGCCAGGGTATTGAGTTTCCAGTCAGTACTAAAGATTATACCAAAATTGAACCTACTGTTGATTACAGAGGGGGAGAAGCAAGCAACATTATGTTCTGGTTAAGTATTTTAATAGAATGATGTATAATAAGACTAATCATCAGCATAGAAATCATTTTTGCCTGCATTGTCTCCAATGTTTTAGTACAGAAAAAATACTAACTAAACACAATGAGAATTGCATGGTTATTAATGGTGAGCAGGCTATTAGGATGCCGCAGAAGGGCAAAAATACACTCCAATTCCAAAACCACCATAGGCAAATGCCGGTGCCTTTTGTTATATATGCAGATTTTGAGGCTATTACTGAGAAGGTACAAGGATGCCAGCCTAGTAGCACTAAATCTTATACTGACAAATACCAAAAGCATACTGGCTGGAGCTATGGGTACAAAGTAGTGTGCTGCTATGATGACACATACACTAAGCCCGTACAAGTTTACAGAGGAGAGGATTCTATTAAAAAGTTTATGGAAAAGATGCTATCAGAGGCACAATACTGCCAGAAGATCCTTAGTACCAAACGTTAGAAACCGTTGATGATGTCAGATGAGGATGAACAAGAGTTTAAGGCCGCTGAGGAGTGCCATATTTGTGGTCAGAAGTATGGTGATACAGATATAAGAGTCAGGGATCATTTCCACATCACTGGTCATTACCGTGGAAGCGCTCACCAGGACTGTAATCTGAATCTGCGGGTTAACCCGAAAGAGTTTAAGATCCCCGTCATCTTCCATAATCTGAGAGGTTATGATAGTCATTTTATTATGCAAGAGATTGGGAGTATTGGTAAAGAACATGATATGGAAATAAACTGTATTCCAAACAATATGGAAAAGTATATGGCCTTTATGTTGGGGAAGCATCTTGTATTCCTGGACAGTTTCCAGTTCATGGCCAGTAGTCTGGAGAGGCTTGCTGCTAACCTTCCAGAAGATGCATTTAAATATACTTCCCAAGTGTTCCAAGATGAGAAACTAGCTCTCACGAAACAAAAAGGAGTATATCCCTATGACTACATTGATAGTTTTAATAAGTTTGGCGATCAACAGCTGCCTCTTAAGGATAGTTTCTACAGCATACTGACAGACGAGGGTATCTCTGATGTGCAATATCAACATGCCCAAAATGTATGGAATACTTTTGATATGAATATAATGGGCGACTACCATGATCTATATCTGCAGAGTGATATTCTCCTGCAGGCGGATGTATTTGAGAACTTCCGTGAGACTTGCCTACAGTATTATAAATTGGATCCCTGTCACTATTTCACATCTCCTGCGCTATCCTAGGATGCTATGTTGAAGATGACTGGCATAACACTGGAGCTTATGACTGATGTTGACATATCCCAGTTTATAGAAAAGGGATTGCGCGTTGGTATCTCTTATATTGCTAACCGGTATGGGGAAGCTAACAATGAGTATATGTCTGGTTATGACAGCAGTAAGCCCAGCAAGTATATTATGTACCTCGACGGTAATAATCTTTATGGCTTGGCTATGAGTCAATGCCTGCCAACAGGTGGGTTTAGATGGATGACACAAAAGCAGATAGATAAGGTTAATCTAGCTGCATGTACAGAAGACAGAAAAAAGGGTACAATAGATTTGGAATATCCAGATAATTTACATGATTTACATAACGATTATCCTGTAGTTGTGGAAAAAATGATGGTGACTTAAGAGATTCTTTCTCCCTACTGTAAAAATATTCAGGAGAAATGTGGGGTTACCATTGGGCAAGTAGCTAAGCTCACCCTAACTCTGGCTAATAAGAAAGACTACGTGCTGTACCATAGGAATTTGCAACTTTGTCTCTTGGTTTGAAACTAAAGAAAGCACACAGAGTTTTGGAATTTGATCAGTCTCCATGGTTGGGGCAATATATTGATTACAATGCAAAAAAACGCATAAATGTGCAGAATAGTTCTGAGAAAGACTTTTTTCAAATTGATGAATAACAGTGTATGCGGCAAAACTATGGAAAATATCAGCGCGTGGATGTGAGACTAGTTACAAGTCAAAAGAAATTATCCAAATTAGTGTCAAAACCGACATTAAGATATTCGATGAAAATCTGGTAGTTGTACATAAGATGAAAGAAGTGTTAACTCTTGACAGGCCAGCTTATATTGCATTCTGGATTTATCAAAGACACTAATGTATGACTTTCACTATAATTACATTAGACAAAAATACAATAATAGGGCTAAGCTATTGTTTACTGATACCAACAGCCTTTGTTATGAAATAGAGAATGGTGACCCTTTCGAGGACTTCTGGGTGGATAAAGAGAAGTTTGATAATAGTGATTATGCTAAAGGGCGCCCATATTTTTGCATAATTGCTAAATTCATAGATGAGGCTGCTGGTATGCCTATTGTTGAATTTCTTGGGCTCAGAAGTAAAAAGTATAGTTATGTAAAAGATAATGGTAAAAATGAAAAGACCGCCAAGGGTATAAGAAAGTATGTGATCAAAAAGAATATCAAACATCAGAATTATAAAGATGATACTCTCCAAAATAATAAGCAGATCTTTCATACTATGAAAACAATCACAAGTGTAAATCATCAATTGGGCAGCCACGAACTCGACAAGGTTTGACTGTCCTGCTTTGATAATGAAAGATAAATCCTCGCTGATGGTAAAACTAGTTATGCATATGGCCACTATAAAATATTAAATTAATAGCCCCAAAGCCGAGGTCATATCCCTATTACAAACATTAATAAAACTGGTGGCCAGCTACATAAGCGAATTGATAAACTTGATAAAAAGCTACAAATCAAAGATGATCCAAAACATTCTCACGATTCTATTTTGATGCTATTGTTAATGGTAAAAGAGAACATTCTGAAGCGAGATATAAAAAATGTTGCGCTAAAAACAACAAATAATTCAAGAGTTAACTTGCTTGCTCCATTTCTTGTAAAGAGTCAGTAATAACTGTGTCATCCTCTGAAGTAGTAGAACTGTCAACCGCTGAAGACGTTTAGTTGTCTTTTGGGCCTTTTGTCACTGAGCCATATAGAACCGCTTCATTTTAGGGCTTTTTCCTTCATAACTTTTTCCATTTGTACTTCAAATTTCCTTCTTTTTGTTTCTTCGTTGGCTGCTTGCCGTGCATACTCCAGTACTCGTATAACAGTCTGTTACCATTTATTTATTTTGATCTGACTTATCAGACAGAAAAAGGTAACAAGAGATCCCAAACAGCTGATTTTCGGATATAGGTTATCAGCCAATGCAACTCAAAATTTCGCTCCACATGCTGTTGTTCTTTATGAAGAGATCCTGAAGATTGATAACATTGGTAACGAGTTGGTTATTGTGTAATTTCAAAGGTCCCATCAAAATGACTCCCCCCGGAAGAATAAAAAGATCCCATCAAAGTGGCGCCCCCCTTGGGGGTAAATATGTTTTTTAAATCAAAGATTATCTAACATATAATATATAGAAGATATGGCGCAACTCTTTGAGATAACAGTAAAACTATCAGAAAACCAAAAACGGAATCTTTCTCGAGCATTTCATCAGAAATAGACAATTGTTCTTAGATTGACAAGCAACGCGCTTTCCGGAAATGTTGAGATTTGTACATGACCCGAAGTGATCCCCGACCCCAAATGATCCCTAAAATCGACCTAAACAAGACCCGACGATTCGCCGGCGTCCTAGAAAAAGCAGGACGTGAGACTAATTTTCAAAGTTTTCCCTACATACTTCAGCGGATTTTTCCAGATAATTCAAGTTTCACATTAGGGACATGTTCTTCACATATGTTTTCGATTTGTTTGTCTGTTTTCATTGGAGTAACGACTCCAACAATCAACACCATAGCTAGCTGTAGACAAACACAAATTAACACCGAGTGAAACCATATTGTCAAGATGGTACCAAAGCTACAACTAGACCATTGCAAGTGATTATCTCATCACAGTAACTACAGCTGATCAGCAAGTTTATAAATGCCCTCCCTGTATATAAACGCGCGCCTTTGCATTCGTCCTTTGTTGTGTCGTCTAAATCCGTAGTTAACTCTGAGTTTGTTGACGAAACGCATAAAAGTACAAATACAGTGAAATACTCGGTCCTTTATAAATCTGTTTCCATTAGCATCTGCAATACGAGCTCTCGTTTCTCTTATGAATTCAGACATTTTGGTTGAACAAATAAGCTTACTTGTGAAAAGAAGAAACCAAACTTCAGAAACGGCGGGAAAATTTGCCTGCCGCACGCACTAACGCCGTCGTCTTTACTACGAATCGTAAATTCAAATTTCTACAGGACGGCAACGCAGAACTATGACGTGACCCAGCGGCGGCGTCGTGCGAAAGTCGTCGATTCGTAAGCTCCCTATTATAGTTATTGAAACGTATTTTATTTAGTAAAGATGCGTAACTTAAGCCTGGTTTCCATATGAACGCTACGATCGCTGAGGAAAAAAAGTTCTGCGATCATAAGGAAACCACTTTCCAGCGATCGTAGCAATCGCTTCCAGCGATCGTAGCGATCGCTGAGATATAAAAAGTTGAAGGCTACATTGATCAACAATAAATAGTACCTTGCTACATTTGAAGGCAAATCGACATATGATAGTTTAGATTAGCTAGAATCTTTACGTTTTGTGAAATTTACTGAGAATATGGGACTGCCGGCCATTTAGCGTTTTGAAAACCTTGACCGGCAGTCTAGCTGAAAAAAGTTCTGAGTGTCACAAAACACAGTTTCGTCTTCTGAGCCCAGCGTAAACCAAACACTAGACTTGAGATCTATAAGGCATTTCAGGATCGCTTGACTTGTCTTAATCGACATATAATAGTTTAGATTAGCTAGAATCTTTCGATTTTTTGAAATTTACCGAGAATATGGGACTGCCGGTCATTTAGTGTTTTTAACGCCTTGACCGGTTACCCGCCATATAGCCACACTAAATATCCTTCAGAACGATTTCTTTCTATTTGCGGAGAGAAAATGTATCTATTAAAAGGCTTCTTAAAGTTCTGTAAGCTTTTATCAAATCTGATACCAGGTCAGATCATTGCCTCAAATCTTACAAACGTGCGTAAACTTGCCTCATAAACTGTGCTCGACTTCATGAAACTACAATCTTAGACAAAAGTCCTTGCGACAGTACTGCAGTATTCATATTTTTCTGTCATTTCTCGGTTCCCTCTTAAAACGGTGCACCCTTTTCGAAGTTTTCTTGCAGTTCTCCCTCCCCCCACCCTATACAAAGTTGAAACTCGGAAAAACTTCTGGATACACGCGTCAAACATTGTTTGTGGGGTGAGGGGAGGGGGTTGGACCTGTGTGCATTGGAAATCGCCCCAGAAACGCAAAAGTGTCCCAAGACTTCTGTCTATGATTCACTTCTGGAGTCAACCATGTGAAATATGTGTGAAGATAGTGTGAAATATTTAACCGTGTGAAAAATGCAGTGAACAAATTTTGTGAAATTTTAGAACGTGTGAAAATCACAATTGAAAGCCTCCTATCAATTTCACATGTTCTTTCACAGGTATGGACTATATGAAAAATCATGTGAATATTTTTATCCACCCACATCAAGTAGCTATGCATGTGAAATAGAAAAATCCTGTGAAAAAGTATGTGAAATGAAAACTAAGTGATAAGTAAAAATGTGATATAATCACAATTCAATTCTATTGAAGTGCATTATTTTAAATTAAATGTTCACCTTAATCACTTTGACCTGATTTGTCTGATTTCTTTTCTAGCATGCACAAATGTAGTGTATTTAATCTATCTAATGTAGGATAATATATACTATCCTGATCTGTATAAAATGATGATTCTTCAACAAGATATACTTCATTTAAGGCCAAAGGCCTGCACAGTGTGAAATATTTGACGTAATTCCATCCATATGTATTGCTCAAAAGTTTAAAATCCATAACAGTGATTCGTTACCATCATTCACAGCTGCTACAAGTGGGAAAGAAAGGCAATTGAGTGAAACAGTCTTTCATGTCAAATAGTTTTGTGTCTACATAGTAAAGAAGACTCTCAACGTCTTTCTTGCAGGATTTGTAAAGTTTCACGGTCACAAATTCACTCTCTCTACCAGAAAGCAGATCATGCAATTTGAGGAAGTGACTTATCCTTCCAATTTGTGTCTTGTCTCCACAACTGATCTTCACCACGGAAGAGACAACAGCTCCAGAATCCAGTGAAGAGGATTTCAAAACAGATGTCTTTCCATGGAGTCGTTTCTCTGTGGAAAATGTTCGCCTAACATTGTGTTCGCTGTCCGTAACTGAAGAAAGGGCACCACATCCTACTAAGTCCTCCATTTCTTGCTTAGTAAGGTGATACTGATCGTGACTAGAGGGAGTTTCCTTGGTGTTTTGTTCATTTCCCACATCCAAAGGCAAAAGGCGTCCAGAAAGTTTCATAAACTGTACCCAATCAAATAGCTGATTAAAAGAAACACAACATCATGTTTTAGTCAAATTTAATATTATCATCGCTGCCTATTTACAAAATACAGCATAAGCTAATTGGTACTACATAAATCTGGAACTTGGAATTTCTACCCATAAGTATATAAAACATTGCCTAGTGTTTATTTCTGTACCGATTTTTCTGAGATTTGATCTAGATCTGGACAGGTTTTTAAACCTGTACATTTGAAATTCGAGTGGGATGTGCAGGTGCAGAGTAATCAGGCCCGATATGATGTTGCTGTAAATAGACCTTTAAAAAAATTGAATGTTATCAATTGCCAGTGTTAGGGATGGGCTATTATACTTTATTCCATCCCTTCCATTGTTTCGATTCACGTTTAAGGAAAATGGCAAACATGTGATTTAATTTGGCAAATTTTCAAATTAGGAAAAGATCATGGGCAGATAAAAATAGTGCAAAACAAATCTTGCGGATTAACCTTTCATGAAACTTTTTCACACACTCAAAAGTTGGAAACAAGTACAGTGAATGGAAAACTTGGTCACGTGGTTTAAATTAGAGATCTTCAGATTCGAGGATGAACACGACTACGAGAACAAGATTTGATTGACAGTTTTTTCACATGTTTTCAAAAGACAGACACCCCGGAATTCTTCATTGTACTTTTTCTCACCAGAAAAGTTAGCACTGTTTTCATTGTTGAAGGAGGTTAAGCCCTGTACTGAATGCAAAATGCTAAAACTTCTAACATTTGATAACTTGTTCCCGTCACTACAACACTCTCGCTAAAATACCAAAATTAAACGAGGCTTACCTGTAAGGTGAAGTTTGATTTGGGTTCTGTGAGTGATTGGTCGGGAGCGAAGGAGTCATGTGAGAAAGCATACGAGCCCGGGAAGATCAGTCTTTAACAGATGTGAGCACTTACACCCAATCATGGGTGGGTGAATAACACACCGGTGGGCACATGACTCCTTCGCTCCCGACCAATGACTCACACAACCCAAATCAAACTTCACCTTACAGGTAAGCCTCGTTTAATTTTGGTATTCTGTTTCGTCATTGGTCGCTACGGAGTCACGTGAGACTTTGAAGCAGTGTGAGTGCGAACTCAAATAAACAGCAATGATTTATATCAACATGAATCTGCTTTAATAATATGCTCTCTTAGCTATCAAAAAATACAACGGTAAGCAACTATCTTACTTGTCCCCACGTACAGCTTTAAGGAGTTCAGCCCCAAAATTCTCTCGAGGGGCCACTGGTTTGTCATAAAACTTTGTAAATGTGGACTCCTGGGACCACCCAGCACTTTTCATAATTGTGGCAATAGAAATGTTGTTCCCCTNTGTGAGTGCGAACTCAAATAAACAGCAATGATTTATATCAACATGAATCTGCTTTAATAATATGCTCTCTTAGCTATCAAAAAATACAACGGTAAGCAACTATCTTACTTGTCCCCACGTACAGCTTTAAGGAGTTCAGCCCCAAAATTCTCTCGAGGGGCCACTGGTTTGTCATAAAACTTTGTAAATGTGGACTCCTGGGACCACCCAGCACTTTTCATAATTGTGGCAATAGAAATGTTGTTCCCCTTTGCTGCAGATGTAGATGCTGATCTGGTGCTGTGTGCACTGTACTTTGAAGTGTCAATTCCAGCATCCACCAATGTAGTCTTAATCCACCGGCTTACTGTATCAGGGGAAACAGCTTTGTGAGGCTTAGTGTAAGTAATAAAAAGCTGCTTCACATCACCTCGAAGAATATCTGTACGCTTCAGATATTGCTGAAGATGCTTGGCAATACAAAGACTAACATCTGGTGCATAGGCCTGAAACTCAATACAAGCTAAATGTCTACCAGGTCTCGAAGTTTTCAACAATGAGTTAATGAAAAACACACACTTATCAGAACGTATTTGCATACAGTCAACTGATAATGTGTGCAGAGTCTGGCGACGCTGTACTGAAAGCAATGCCATCAACATAACCACTTTCAAAGTCAAGTTCTTCAAACTAAGTTTCTCAGGTGGGCCAAGTTTAGCTAGGTAGGCTAATACCACCGTCACATCCCAAGTTTCTTGATACCTTGGTAGATAGGGTCTGCATTCGAAGATTCCCTTGATGAAACGACAGACTAAGGGATGCTGTCCAAACGTGTAATGCTTTGATGTAAAACAAACAGTAGATAAAGCACACCGGGCCGTATTGAGAGCACTATATCCAATCCCTGTTTGGTAGAGTTCTGCCAGGAGATTAATCCCATGTTCTATAGTGGCTGAAAAGGGATTAATCTGCCTTTGACTACAGTACTGTTCCCATTTGGCGATGAATGGTTTATATTGTTGTTTACTGCCCTTTCTCCAAGACTGCAGGATGAGTGAGGTAGCTGATTCCAAAAGGCCTCTGCCTTCAAGTGGTTTCCGGACAAGTGGCATATCGGCAGGGTGGGTTTCTGGTGTAGTGGATGCACCAAGTCTGCCTGTTGAGGTAGAAATAAGGTTTGTTTCTTTTGGGAAGCAAAAGGGGTTTCTGAACCAGCAGTCTCATTACCGATGGCCACCATGGCTGGGTCAGCCAGAATGACACAACCAACAGTCTTGTGGCCTCATCTGCTTGGATTTTCTGTAACACTTTTGGGATGATACTAAAAGGAGGAAAAGCATAAAAAATGTAAGGTTTCCAAGAGATTGAAAAGGCATTAATAGCAATTGCTTCAGAATCAGGTTAGTAGGCGACAAATGGCCTTAACTGGTAATTAAGCCTAGAGGCAAATAGGCCAATCTGAGGCTCAACATGAAGTTTCTTAACAGCCTCGAGGAAAATTCCTCTGTCTAAGGTCCATTCAGTTTCTCTCCTAGATTTCCTGGACTCTTCATCATCTAGAGTATTCTCTTTACCTGGGATATGACTTGTGGTTAACCACATGTTATTGTCAAGGCACCATTCCCAGGGCGTACGGGTTAAATCATTTCGCTTTTTGGAATGGCTTGTGCCCATTTTACATAAATCTGACACAGCAGTCGTGTTATCAATTCGCACAAGGACATGCTTCCCTGATAGTTCTTTATGAAATGCTTTGAGAAAAAACAACACTGCAAGCATTTCAAGATAATTAATACGATTAGAAGCTTCTTCAGGGGTCCAATGCCCCTCAATCTTTACATTATTGAGTACTCCTCCCCAGCCTTCTGATCTCTGGCTGGGTAAGGCTTATAGGGTTATGCAGTGACCTTGCTGAGTTTACCCACCACTGCAAATCGCTGCGAGACAACTCAGACAGTTGCATAAATTCATCAAAGTTACCCTTGTTTAGGCGCAAGGCCTCAGTTTTGTCCATGTCCAGTGACCTAAAATGCAAGGGCCCCAGCTTTGCTGCCAGAAAATTTGATATTAGCAACCCAAGAGTGGATGCCACCTCCCTTATTGTGGGGTGTGGAGACTGCAACAGGCCTTGACAGGTATGAATTATCTTCTCGATCTTCTCAGAAGTTGGATAGACTGTCATTGTAATTGAGTCTATAATAAAGCCCATAAAGGTGATTTGCTGTTGCGGAACAGGATCAATTTTCAGGGTGTACAGTAAACCCAAGGGAATCAAATATTTTGACAGTATCCCAAACAATTCTTTCACAGTCATCATAGTCATCACCCGGAGATATGAGTCATCAATATGACTTGCTGAAAGGTGACCCAGCTGTCTTAAATGTGAATATACTTGCTTTAATAATTTAGTAAACTTCCTGGGGCAAAATGCCAATCCATTTGGAAAGCAAACATACCTATACAGTTTTCCTCGCCACTTAAACTTTAGGTTTTTTTGGTCTGCAGTGGCGATAGGTACAGAATAATAAGCATCCTTTAAGTCTATCGACGTCATAAGGCACCCAGGTTTTACCATATGTAAAACAGTATTAAGTGAGTCCATTTTGAAATGGTTATATTGCAAATGAGTGTTTAGGCACTTGACATTTAAAATAACTCTGAAGGAGCCATCCTTTTTGGCCGTAGTGACAATAGGAGAGATATAATCCCCTTCTTCGTGACTACTTGGGGTAAGAACACCTTTAGCAAGTAGTTTATCTATTTCGGTATCAATGACATGCTGTTCATCCAAATCAAGGATTTTCTTCTCTTTGGGAACTACTCTTTGATATGGAGTCCTAGTAAATTCAATTGGCTGGCCTAATATCATTTGCAATATCTCAGGGCCTGAGGTTAAGGCCTGCCACTGATTATAATATTCTCTCAGCCCCCCTGCTTTAAAGCAGTGAACTTTGTGCTCAAGATACTGTAACATATTTACCTTATTTGTAGGAATATCAGAGCATTGCACTGGCTGGATTTCTTCGCGGTTTCCCGTGGTTTGTAGAAATTGTTGTGTGGCCGGTAAGACCGGCCCCTCTTCCCTAAAAAAGGCTTTCCACTAGAGTGAGAAGATTTGCCTTCCAGCCATTGCTATGGTTTCGATAAGATGACTTTGCAGTAGTCGTATGCCCAATTTTGTTAGTTGCTTTGATATTGTTAAGCTGAGAGTGCAGCTCATCGCCAAATAACAAGCCCGTGATGGGTATTTGAGAACCACTCAACGAGGAATATTCGTCATTTAAGTTTGGTTTGATAGCGTCGCGTCGACGGTAAGACAGCTCAATGTTTACACTGCCTAACAATGCCAGAGCGTCAGCGTTATACGTGACTAATTTCCCCAATTTCTCAGTGAGAGCCAAAGCTGAAGTCTTCTCAGGATCTGCACGGATGGCCAGCAGTGTGTCAGTCGATTTGGCGACAGCACTACCGACTTTGACAAGTACTTTCTGCATGTTTGCAAGACGCAAATCCGCGCTCTTGGTCCCTTGCTTCAGCTTATTCCATATCTCGGGGTTGACCTTTACCACAGTTAATTTCTCACAATTATCGGGTCGATTGTATTTCGCCAATTTTTCTTTTAATTTGGCTTCCTCCAACTTAGAGCCCCATCGCTTATTGGCGATATCCGCCAATTTCTGAGCGACTTTCGGGTCAGTTTGCTCGTCCGACTTAAAGTCTTGAGCAATTTCATTGAGCAATGCGTCCTCTGTGACAGAGCTGCCCGGTTTTGGCGGGTCGCCGTTCGGCGGGAAATTGAGTTCCTTGGAATCTAACTGTTCAGGGTCTGAATCTCCGCTATCTCTCATTGCACTAGATTCAGGAGGTTGTCTTCTCCTTTTCGGTGGTGTAGCATGGTCTTCTGGTGCGTCAGCTAAACGTTTCATTGCGTTTTCCATGGACAGCATGGTGGAACTCATTTGGGTCATGGCCGACAAAACGTTAGCCAGCACTTTGTCTGTGCCCTGGGGCGAGGGATTCGCTGACTCATTTTCTTCAGAAAGTAAATTGTCTTCTTCTGCCGGTGAAAGGGGGTCCCTTTCACTCATATTTTCGACAGCCATACGGCGATTTTCTCGGTGTTCGCTCGACACTGAGGGAGCAAAACAACAACGGTCCGACCTTCCCCAAGGATCGCACACAACTGATCTTCCCGGGCTCGTGCGCTTTCTCACGTGACTCCCTAGCGACCAATGACCAATAACGAAACAGAACTCGTAGTAGAATGACGACGGCTACCACGTTTTCCCGCCAAAATGACGCTGCCTTACCTGTGAGCACTACCTAGTATTGAGAAAATCTCATACTCGTAGTCGTACTCGTCTTAGAATCTAAAGTTCTCTATTGTTGTTTGCAATAAATGTGAATCTTTAAGAGCGTCTCCGCGTAAATATCAACGGGACGTGGAAATAGTAAAAAACTGACCTGGTCTCAAACTCAGCCAGAATAAAGCCCTATGGGCCCTACTTACAAAATCGTTGGTTTAAGTACGATCGACTGAATAATATGAAATGCCCTAAAATGGGCAAAAATCATGCGAAATTAGCGTCATATTCAGTAACTCGTACATTTTAAAATAAAGTTGGTTACTAAAATATAATGACACTTCGTATTTTTACTATCTTTTCCTCTATAATTTTAACTGATTCGTTTGCGATTTGGTCAAAAAGAGATTTTTTAAGAAATTTTCAAAGTTGTTAACTCAAAATCGATTAATCAACCGTCAAAATTTAGCACTTTTTCACGAGCTAAAAAAGGGGATTGGTACATGGCTTTGAACACCAAGGCCTGTTTAGTCTGAAAAAGCATTTCTTTTTTCTTCAAATTAACGAAATGAAATTTTTGGGTAAATGAAATCACGAGCGCTGGCAAAGCGAAGCAAATGTAAATATTACGCTAAAAACAGGCAAAAGAACGTGACCACTGACTGAAACACAAACAAATGCGAATTACGGTAGGCGCCAAACCTTTAATTAATTCGGTAACTTCTCGAAACAATATTGGTCCGAAATACGTATAGATGGTTTTCACTGTGACGTCATCAAATTGTAAAGTCAAAATAGCGAGGTTTTACGAATTCTTATTTACACTAAGTTGAAGATAAACAAAAAGTAAATCTTTGTACCAGTTTCCATTTCCGTAGCATAGGAATATCAGAGCATTGCACTGGCTGGATTTCTTCGCGGTTTCCCGTGGTTTGTAGAAATTGTTGTGTGGCCGGTAAGACCGGCCCCTCTTCCCTAAAAAAGGCTTTCCACTAGAGTGAGAAGATTTGCCTTCCAGCCATTGCTATGGTTTCGATAAGATGACTTTGCAGTAGTCGTATGCCCAATTTTGTTAGTTGCTTTGATATTGTTAAGCTGAGAGTGCAGCTCATCGCCAAATAACAAGCCCGTGATGGGTATTTGAGAACCACTCAACGAGGAATATTCGTCATTTAAGTTTGGTTTGATAGCGTCGCGTCGACGGTAAGACAGCTCAATGTTTACACTGCCTAACAATGCCAGAGCGTCAGCGTTATACGTGACTAATTTCCCCAATTTCTCAGTGAGAGCCAAAGCTGAAGTCTTCTCAGGATCTGCACGGATGGCCAGCAGTGTGTCAGTCGATTTGGCGACAGCACTACCGACTTTGACAAGTACTTTCTGCATGTTTGCAAGACGCAAATCCGCGCTCTTGGTCCCTTGCTTCAGCTTATTCCATATCTCGGGGTTGACCTTTACCACAGTTAATTTCTCACAATTATCGGGTCGATTGTATTTCGCCAATTTTTCTCTTCATTTGGCTTCCTCCAACTTAGAGCCCCATCGCTTATTGGCGATATCCGCCAATTTCTGAGCGACTTTCGGGTCAGTTTGCTCGTCCGACTTAAAGTCTTGAGCAATTTCATTGAGCAATGCGTCCTCTGTGACAGAGCTGCCCGGTTTTGGCGGGTCGCCGTTCGGCGGGAAATTGAGTTCCTTGGAATCTAACTGTTCAGGGTCTGAATCTCCGCTATCTCTCATTGCACTAGATTCAGGAGGTTGTCTTCTCCTTTTCGGTGGTGTAGCATGGTCTTCTGGTGCGTCAGCTAAACGTTTCATTGCGTTTTCCATGGACAGCATGGTGGAACTCATTTGGGTCATGGCCGACAAAACGTTAGCCAGCACTTTGTCTGTGCCCTGGGGCGAGGGATTCGCTGACTCATTTTCTTCAGAAAGTAAATTGTCTTCTTCTGCCGGTGAAAGGGGGTCCCTTTCACTCATATTTTCGACAGCCATACGGCGATTTTCTCGGTGTTCGCTCGACACTGAGGGAGCAAAACAACAACGGTCCGACCTTCCCCAAGGATCGCACACAACTGATCTTCCCGGGCTCGTGCGCTTTCTCACGTGACTCCCTAGCGACCAATGACCAATAACGAAACAGAACTCGTAGTAGAATGACGACGGCTACCACGTTTTCCCGCCAAAATGACGCTGCCTTACCTGTGAGCACTACCTAGTATTGAGAAAATCTCATACTCGTAGTCGTACTCGTCTTAGAATCTAAAGTTCTCTATTGTTGTTTGCAATAAATGTGAATCTTTAAGAGCGTCTCCGCGTAAATATCAACGGGACGTGGAAATAGTAAAAAACTGACCTGGTCTCAAACTCAGCCAGAATAAAGCCCTATGGGCCCTACTTACAAAATCGTTGGTTTAAGTACGATCGACTGAATAATATGAAATGCCCTAAAATGGGCAAAAATCATGCGAAATTAGCGTCATATTCAGTAACTCGTACATTTTAAAATAAAGTTGGTTACTAAAATATAATGACACTTCGTATTTTTACTATCTTTTCCTCTATAATTTTAACTGATTCGTTTGCGATTTGGTCAAAAAGAGATTTTTTAAGAAATTTTCAAAGTTGTTAACTCAAAATCGATTAATCAACCGTCAAAATTTAGCACTTTTTCACGAGCTAAAAAAGGGGATTGGTACATGGCTTTGAACACCAAGGCCTGTTTAGTCTGAAAAAGCATTTCTTTTTTCTTCAAATTAACGAAATGAAATTTTTGGGTAAATGAAATCACGAGCGCTGGCAAAGCGAAGCAAATGTAAATATTACGCTAAAAACAGGCAAAAGAACGTGACCACTGACTGAAACACAAACAAATGCGAATTACGGTAGGCGCCAAACCTTTAATTAATTCGGTAACTTCTCGAAACAATATTGGTCCGAAATATGTATAGATGGTTTTCACTGTGACGTCATCAAATTGTAAAGTCAAAATAGCGAGGTTTTACGAATTCTTATTTACACTAAGTTGAAGATAAACAAAAAGTAAATCTTTGTACCAGTTTCCATTTCCGTAGCATGTTTCATTTCGAAAATACAGCAATTTGAACTTCCGAGTTTTCACTGTGCGTGACACCAAAACAGGAATGCTGTCTCGTTAAAAAAAGTCTCTCCTCTTGATTTTCAGCAATATAACCACTTCAAGTATTAGAAGACATGTTTATGCGTACGTACGCTAGTTCTCGAGTGAAAAGAAAGAGCTTTTATAGAAAAAGTAAACTCCAGACGTTTTTGTTGATTTCCGGCGGCCATATTGGTGCACCAAAACGGTGCACCAATATGGCGTCTCCATACAAAGCTCTACAAAGGTGCGTGAAACGTTTCGCCAAATAACTCAGACACTATGGGCCACAAAGACCTGAGACTTGGACAAACTGTTTATTTATAAGTCTTTTATAACATTTCATTTTCTTGGTTTCTTCCACTGGACGGTTTCCAATTTAACTTTTTGTTGCGTGACAGTGAAAACGATCTATAGGTTTTTTAAAATAAAGCTGAGTTCAAGTATTAAGTGTCAAAAAGTCCACAAAGCGGTAAAAAATACAGCAAAAGTCACGAGTAATCTTTTCGACCTGTTGCGTTTTCTGAATTTTTACAGAATCCAGCGATACCCACCTGAGACCGTGTTAGTTTAAGATTCCATAGAACTTCTCAGAAGATTCCTCGGAAAGACCTCCAGAAGGAAATGAATGAAGAATTTGAACTTATAACTGTAACAATTTCACTTGCCGCCACGGCAAAATGAAAACAACTGTCGAACTGCCACAGGCAAACCAGCTTTGAGTGCAGTCATGCAAAGCACGTCACGTCACGTAATTTGGGAGGGAGGGAAGAAATTCTTCCATGCTGTGCGCTAAAACATTTAGGAAATAAAACTAGCTGAGCTGTATCTCTTGTAACCAGTTAAAGAAAAGAATAACTTTTTCCCCTGTTTTTGCTCGAGGGGCACTGTGCACTTCTTTTATTTTATCTGCTGTTTATAATGATTGTGTTTCAAGTTCAGCACGTGCATCTGTAGCTAGCAATTGGTGTGTTTGAATTACCGAATGCTGTAGAAAGGATATCAAAGGGTACCAAAGCAGTGGCGGATCCAGGGGGAGGGTCCCCCCCATCAGACCTGGTACTTGTTTGAGACTAAAATCTTTACAACGATAGGATTGTATATCAGTGTTTAACTGGCTGAATTTTTTAATGAAACGCGTGTTGTATTTTGCTACTAAATTAAATTCCAGGGATATTCAAAAATGTGATTGTCTTTGGGTATCCTCCTATGATCTGTTCGCCTCCGCTCGCAAAGCAGTGTTTCCCGCGCCAACGGCGACTGGCTTTCACAGATTGAGAAACACGTAGTCGTCTCTTCCTTCTCAGTGTCTAGTGGGAGGGGGTGTGGGGGAAAAGTAATTTGCCACAAAAAAATTCAACAGTCCTTTCTGAACCAAAGAACAGAAATCGGATATTATTTTTTTTACAAGAAACCTGCAGTACAGCAGAAGTTGAAGATATCTGGAGAACACAATCGCAGGGTAAGCTTTTCTTTTCACGTGGTACTTGTCATAGTTGTGGGGTAATGGTTCTGGTTAGAGGTGGTTTAGATTTCAATTTGATTTCGATTAGGACGGCGATGAAGGTCGCTATATTGTATTAGAAGCTGAAGTGCAAGGAGCAAATTTCTTACTGGTAAACGTTTATGTTCCTAACAAAGTTCAGGAACAGTGCCGTTTTATTGAAAATCTGAATTCGACAATCGATGATGTTATTAAAGATGATGAACCTAAGCTTGTTGTGGGTGGGGACTTTAATGTTACGCGCTTGAGTACTTGAGTACTTGAGTTACGCGCTTGAGTTTTGTACTTTTAATCAACCAAAGTGTTTCGCTTTGGCTAGATGAGTTTAAAGTGATAATCGACAAAAGAGTATTATGGGATTTGATTAAGTACAGGATAAGATGAATTATAAATTATAGCAAGGAAAATGCTCGACAAAGAAGGCAAAAGATGTCTGCTATTAAAAACTCTCGCAAAGTCTTGGAGGAAAAGTGCGGTAATAACCCTACTACCGAGAATATTGAACAACTTGAAATTTTGAAATTGGAACATGAAAATATTTATGAGGAATTTTCAAACGGAGCAATCATTCGCTCGAAGGCAACTTGGTATGAAAAGGGAGAGAAAAAAACAAATATTTCCTCAATCTAGAATCTCATCGGATGGCTAAAAGTTCAGTTCGTAAGGTTTTTAGCGAAGAAGAATTGTTAGTCACTGACCCTAAAAAGATTTTGGGGCTTATTGAAGGCTTTTATTCTGGTCTGTATAAGAAGGACGATCTAGAACCTTCTGAAAATCTGATGAATACTTTTTTGGAAAATCCACTCATGCCTCGTCTCTCTGTTGACGATTCTCAAGTGTGTGAAGGGAAGTTAACAACTGAAGAATGTGTGAAGAGCCTCAATTCTTTTGAACCCAATAAATCTCCAGGCAACGACGGGTTAACAGCTGAATTTTACAATTTTTTTGGAACATAGTTGGGGAATTACTGGTAGCCAGCCTCAACTACTCTTATGACGTCGGAGAATTATCAAACTCACAAACGAAAGCAATTATAATATTATTGGAAAAAAAGATAAGGATAAAAGACATATCTCTAACTGGCCATGGAGACCAATATCTCTGATCAATGTCGATGTTAAAATAGGATCGAAAACGATCGCTAAAAGACTGGCTTTTGATTCTGTAAGCAGAGAAATTCTTTTTCGTACCCTATCTGCTGCTCGTTTGGTTCTTCTTTTATCCAATGGATTCACACTTTTTGCGTTCGAGGTACGAGAACGCAACCCCTTATTTGTGTTGGGTGTTCTGTGCATTATTGGGTGTCCTGTGCAATTAATAAGGGAGGTTTTTTTGAGATTGCATTTTCGTCGTAGCCTCCCCGCAGACGTCCTTTGGGGTTCGTTTGTCACTCATTCATTTCTCCCCCACGGACGTCTGCTAAACACAGCCGACATTTACGTTCACCAATCACAGGCCGTTTACCGATTTTTGTAAAACGTAACCCGAGCCGCTTCTTAAGATTCCACGATCAGTGAGGCTTTTGATCGAGTGTGCAAGAAATTTGTAATTAATACAGAGTTAAACAAGTATCAGAGGGAAGCTATCCTGCAAATTTTATAGCGAAGACCGATGAGTTCATAAATTTGCCGACGGGATTTGGCAAATCCCTTATCTATCAAGCTTTGCTGCTTGTTTGCGACACAGTGCGTGGAACTACTGGACATTATTGTTGTTGTTGTTTCTTCCCTGGTAAATCTTGAAAGATCAATCTACAAAGCTGGAAAATATTGGTATTCCTGCTGTAACGCTCAGTGATATTAGCAAAGAGAATATGAGGGTTGTCGAGAGAGTGACTTTCTCTGTTGTTTACGGAAGCCCAGAAGCTTGGTTGAAGATCGATCGGTGGAGGAAATGTTAGCGAGTGACTTGTACAGTTAGTATGTGGTCCTTGGTCGGCGACTTTCCCGAGCATGATTAAATATTTCGTCGAGAAATAAAATACAATGAACAATAAAAGGTTCAATGATTTATTGGTTATAAGCATTATTTCTTTCTTTGAAGGAGCGAGATTAAAGTTTGTTGACAGATAGGTTAATTTGTCGTTCTAGCTTGAAGTTTGGACTTCGGCGGAACCGTGGTCATGTTTACTAAGCTTGTGAATAAATAAAACGCAACGGGAGGACGTGCCTTTTTGCAGAACAAGTTTTCAGATAAACCTTTTTCTGCCGTTGGAAGCACATTGCTGTAGACTTCGAATTTTTTGTTTTACCGACTCTTGAAAAAATATAACCAAATTTTGCGTACTGGTCCTTGGTCCGAGACCCATGACCTTGGTGGAATTACATTTCGCAAAAAAGGAAACGGCCTTTGTTTTCGAAGAATGCTTTGAAT